CTTCATGGGACAAGGTAGAACTTGTATAAACGAAAGCTCGGCAGTGCAGAGCACTGTGCAACAAACTATGATGAGGGGCGAAAGTTCAATGGAACCCTTTCCCCAGATCCCTGGGGAAGGAATATAAAACGGGCACACACCCCCACTCCCAGACCTCAGATCAGCTGATCTGAGGCAGCTCTAATCCCAAGGTAAGAGAGAGGAAAGGGGAGAAATCTTTAAAATGAACCTACAGACCTGAGGGAGGAAGTTGAGGAGAGAATTCAGCAATGGGAAAACTATCTGCTAAACCAATTCTCCAGCACTGGAGATGGAGGATCCACCCGTGGGTAGTGACTGTATTCCTGCCCAATCAGATCAAGTCAGCCAAAGTTGTCACGCCCTGTCCTTGGACCTATGCCCAGTCTTGATTTGATCTTGCCCATGAACAGGACGTACAACTCTGGCTCGTAGAGACTATGTGAATTTAGTGGTTCCTCCATCTCAGTTCTATATTGGTAAAGTAGATAGAGTTAATTACAAAAAATTCGGTCCTTCTGTCAGCTCTACTGTGGGGGGTGATTTATTGGGAGACAGAAGGGGGCCCCTTCTTTTTCCCCTCCCTCCAAGAGCTCACAGGGTAGGGCTAATTAATTAAAATTAATTTAAATTAAAATTTCATAGCGGAGCGCATTGGGGCTTGCTCCAGCGGCTCCGTTAGCGGCAGGGACTGACGAGAATTCAAAAACTCTCAGTTCCCTCCGTTCTCTCCTCTCCGTGGTCTAGCGAAGTGGGAGAAGCCGTTCGGCCGCTCTCCTTCCTTTTTGGCGATTGGCCTCTCGTGACGGGGATTGCGGCTGCATCCCCGGGGAGGCCAATTATAGCGAAAGAAGCCCGAGGGGACCGTTCGGCTGAAGGCTTCCTCGGCGGGTACCTTTCTGGCAGCGGAGATCGCGGCTGCACCCCCGGAGAGGCAAAACGACCGAGAAAGCCGTTTCGGCTGAAGGCTTTCTCGGCGGATTGGTTGTTCCAACAGCGGGGATCGCGGCTGCATCCCCGGCAGAGCCAAATTAGCATAACTGTTTTTTTCGGAGGTTGCGGCTGCGGCGCTCCGAGAAGACAGGGGCAGGCCGAACGTTGAATTGACCTTTTTCGGCCGTTTCTTGGCGAGTTAGAGGCTGCTCAGGGTACCGCCTCGCTCCCAGGGGGCTTCTGCAACTTCCAACGGTCAGGATTTGACAGTTGGGGTGTTTTTTGGCGCGGCCGCCATTTTGTCTC